AGACGCGGCGGGCGACGCCGAGTAAGGAAACGCCGAGCAAGACGACGCACCTAACCCAATCAAGCAATTTCGAACGTCGCAAGTTTGTTGCGAGGGGTGAGTCACTGCCTGAATATGCAGGCAGGGCGAGTCAGTAGTTGAAAAAGGGGGGTCACCAATCTAACCGCCTTTCTTCTTCCCCCGAACTCCATCCGCACCACAACTTTTTTGAAATCTTAAACTCTACAATACAGTAGCGCCCATCTCGCTGAAGGGCATCGCTGAGGAGAAAGACGAAAAGGGGCTGTGGTGACACTGATAATGTCGAACGTCGTCAGTGCGAGATACGGCGTCGACGAAGAAACCCCGGCGGACGAAGCGGAGAATTGAGGAGTGGATGGAGTAGCGAAGCGTGCTGTACATCTAGAAGCGAATTAGGCAGTAAGTTTAGTAGTGGATTAAGTAGGAGACTGAGCTAAGAGTCAATTACCTAAGGCAGTAATAAATGCGAGCGACACAAGAGATCATGTGACTGCTACATCTTTCTTCCCGTCGAATCAGTGATGGAACGAGGCACGGCCGAAGGAGCAAACTCTGATTGGTCCAGTAGGAGAGGTCGCGCGCGCGGTGATGGAGGAGTCACTGATAGCGACCACCGCGCACGTGTCTGGTGGACAAACAACAGACTTGCTGCGCACGACTGTACTCCAGTGGAGGCACGCCATTACTTGCATAGGCAAGCTGATTGGCTATCGTGTCGCTGATGTTTTGCCGATCTGCAAACCTTGGGCATCTGGTAAATGCAAAGTGAGCCTGTAATGCCCAGACTTCGCTTCGCTCTACTGGGGGGGAATGGAGCGCTTCGCTATAAGCACCACGCTGACTTCGCAAAGGGCTGAGGCTGATTTGTTGGCACAGGCTCCACGAGCTCACCTGATTGGTTTGCAGCAACAACCATCCATGATGCCTCCCTGTACAGTGGAGTCTTGGCGGACGGCATCCACGCAACAGGATCGCAAATTTAGGTTCAGAGAATCGAATCTTATGGGCGCTTTAGGCGGAATATATCGATACGAAGAGGGTCTGAGTGGAAAACTTAGCCAGCGCCATTTTGAGCTTGCCACTTGAAAATTAACGCCAGCCGCGTTTTCATGCAATGCTTGTTGACGAGCAGGCGCCATAATCGGGAGCGTGTCTTTGCCCTGCGAATAACAGTCTTTCGGGATTTGGGAAGAACCATGTAATCTTCGGTCGCCGACAATGATATATGTCTTGTCAACAAACCTTCTTATTCTCCATCATCCCTCCCGACCCGCACTACATCTTTTGGCGCAAGTAGAGTAACAATGCGATTGTTCATTGCCATTGTCAGTACCATGTCGGCCCCCTTTGGATTGCCACGTATTGACTGAACCTTAGCTTTTCGTCTTCCTCGGTCTCGCGCTCGCGACGGACAGGATCCAGTATTGCTGTTTCTCGACCGTGGGGAAATTTGGAACAGGGCCGTGTACCAGAGACCAGTATACCAGACACAGAGATGTCGTCAACTTCCTTCTCGCTGGCGCCAGTTGCGTCAGGAAGTCTTGCGGATCCGTCAGGCTCAATCCTAAGCAGGAGTGGTTCTACGCGGAACAATATGACTGTCTCACAACTTTGACTGGAAAGTTCTCTGGAAGAGAACTTGGAGATTGCTATCTTCAGTGCATTCCCGTCCAACAGTCGGGTCCTTGTCCGGAACGTTCAGGTACGCGCAATGGTTTGTCTCTTGCGAATCTTTCTGACAGTGTCTTAGAGCGTTGTTAGCTGCTTCCGCACCTGTCTCGCCGGCATGTCTTGTCTGGTCGTTTGTCTCCTTGAGGTCTGGAACAGCTCTGCAGCAGTAAGCAGCCAGGTGGCTCTCTTGTTTTGGATGTATTCAGAAGTCCTTGCGCCGCGCGCGAGGCGGACGATATCAAGCTGGGTTTCTCCATGTCTTTCCTCGAATAAGTCGGACACGGGATGGAAGCTATTAGGCTTTGTGGATGTCTGGTAAGGTATCGAATTGAAGACGACTTTTCCACACATGGCGTCGACTGGTATCAGTGCAAAATTGTATGTGATGCAATCGATAACGCTGCTGGGAGACTTGATCGACGCGGTCGGACCAGCGGTTCCCAGCGTATCCTGGAGTAACGACAGTTTTGACGTGATCATTCTGGGATGAAGTGTGTTTTTGATCGCTAGGTCATTTTCAACGGCCATCGTGGGGAGCTACCGGCAAGTGAATTTGGAAGCGTCCAAAGACAATGCCGAGAAGCGACGCCCACAATTGACTGATTGGTAGGGTGAGCAAAGGACCGACTGGCGGGACTTTATTCCTTGTCTCCAACAGCACACGACTGCGAGACTTCCCACATCGATCATGAGCAAGGGGCCAATCGCAGTAATTATGCCTGGGCTGGCTGTTGTGCAGGAGAGGGGCTTAGTCTCAAGCGGCAAGTATCATGCTCCGCTCGCACAAATGCGACTATTTGGCTTCCAGATTGGTAATCTTCTCCGCGGCCGACGACTGGGAATGCCGTGGTTGCTTTTGGCTCCCGAAATGGTAAACATGGTCATCGTATTGGGGGCGCGAGTGCTTAAAAGTTCGGATTCTGGAAAGGCTCGGATGTTTGGTCAGGAACATGAAACGTCATTGTCCCTGGCCACCGGTATTTGTGATCTAGGTTTCGCTGGCGCAAGCGAGGATGTTGGTGGTGTAGGTTGGCGGAGCGGTCAAGGCTAGTTCGTGGCCCCTGGTACTGTATACAATGAGAAGATTCCAGGCAGACTTCAGCGTCACAATTTGACGACAAGTCCTTGAGCGAACAAGAAGCGGAAGTGGGTTGACGATTGACCAAAGTGACCTAGGTAGTTCGTGGTCGAAACACGTGCCCGGCCTCGGCCATGACCCGCGGTGCTGAGTCTTGGTTGACCGGGCAGGGACCCGCAACCAACGTCTGGCTTCCACCTGCGCCGCCGGGTCTGCCATCCGCTTCTCTCTACAGACCATCAACTGCTCGCACGCGACCTCTTGAACATCTACACCATCCAGCCCCAAGTCTCGTCACCAGCTGCGCATTCCCAACGGTCGTCCCTCCAATCGCCCGTTACCGACGACGTCCGCGCCCTCGCGTCCCACCCTCACTCCCGCAACCCTTTCCGCGGCCCATGTCTGACGCCTCGAGCACCTTCAACATCCCGCAACTGATCGTCATTGTCGTCGTCAGCTTCCTGCTCTTCCGCTGGTACAGCTCCGCCTCTCCGGCCGGCGGCGCCGCCGACGGGTCGAGCAACTCGCGCAATGGCGCGCCGCGCGTGAACCCCGCCGCCGTCGAGCAGGTCGCTCTCATGTTTCCGCAGCTGCAGAGGAGGGACATCATGTGGGACTTGTCCAGAAACGGCAGCAATGTCGCTGCGACTACAGAGCGCATCTTGAGCGGGCGAGGCCTGGAAGTAGTACGTATTCAACGTGTCTGCTGCTTCAAACCCACTTCTGATATCCGCGTCACTTTAGCCTCCACCGTCATACCAGCCGCCGATGCCGACCGCGCGCACCGCAGCCTCGACGCCCATTATTCCAAAGTCCCAGAAGGTCGATTTGATAACGCGATATCACCTGGCAGACAAGATCAACGACGAGTCGGCCGCCGCAGAGGAGACGTCTCAAAAGACAACATGGTCGCAGAACAAGACGGAGAGACAAAGGATTCTACAGAAGCGTCGGCAGGAGATGGTTCTTGCAGCGCGGAGAAGGATGCTCGAAAAGGACAAGGCGAGCAGTGCGCCCGCATCTTAGCATGTCAGAGGAGTGTCGACTTGTTAGCCCAGCATTAGATCAAAAATCATCTTGACAGCACAGCAGTCCCAATCGGTTTATATTCAGCATTCCTTCCTGTGTCCGGATTCTCGCAGGTCTACTTCGAATTTAGGCAAGGTGCTGCGCCGGGCTGATATCGGGACGAGTTATGAAGAGGTCCAGCATTGGCAAAAACAGCTTCCGCTGAGGATCATTTGCCCACGATATGAGCTCCTCATACTCGACCCACTGCCAGGCCTCGCACTTTTCCGGCTCCATAATCTGTATCCATGAGTCCACGAAGCACTCAAAACCACGGTCGCTTGCTTACCTGGGGCTCCACACCCTCGTCCTTCAAAATGGCCGTCATGAAGACAGTGACGTAATGCAGGCCCTCATCCTTCCAGACGCTGTTGGTCGCCGTCAAGAAGCGAATATGCTCGCGGTCGATCGTCAGCCCTGTCTCTTCAAGCACCTCCCTTGCCGCGCATTCCTCGAGGCTCTCGCCAAACTCGAGGTGCCCTCCCGGCAGCGCCCACGTGCCTGTGCAGTGTCAGATACAATCCGTGCTCCGATCAGATCAGCGCAGCAGCAGTTCGTCTGTCTGGCGTACCGGAGCCGTGGTTTCCTTTGCGCAGTCCCGCGATAAATGCTCCGCTCTTGTTCAGAATGAAGACGCCCACACCAACCCGTGGTGCTTTGGGCGCGGCCGACATGTCGTGCGTTACAATTGAGGAAATGGAGAGGTGGTCTGCGGGCTGACCGTGACGGTGGGCAGTGCTTCAATTTGTAGTGGCTCTCGCTTTGCGGTCTTTCAGCCTTGCCGACTGCGCCTACTCGACTGCGGTGATGCCAGGCGTTTGTGCCACTGAGAGCGCTTGCGGGGTGGAACTGAAAGTCTTCGGTTTGCGGAGGCGAGTGTTTGAATAAATCGTGAAATGACTCCAAGACAGCGTAGTCAGCCGCCTGCGCTTCTGGTAGGTAGGTGGGCACGGGATGTTGACGACACGGTACAATTCGCCGAAAAAGCCACCACTGCTCGATGACAATGCGAATGTTCCCCGGATAATGACCAAAAGCAACGGTCTTGATAAAGCCTCGCAGCGCAAAACAGAGGCAAAAAAAAAAACTCAGTTGAATCAGTGTATCGACCAGCACGGGGCTCTGTATGGACGTTAGAATAAAATTCACGAAGAATCAAATGCAGAGGGTACGAACCGAACCCGCAACCTTGCCCTTTTGCCACCATGCATTGAAGTGTAGGAGGGGCACGCGCTACCATTGCGCCAACCGGCCGATTTAATTTCTTAAGCCAGAATAAATTAATTTATAGTAATTTACTTTAATCAATCTCTGCGAATAAGGCTGTCTGTGTGGTCCCACACCCAACGTACTGTACCCACCGACGTGCCGAGCGCACCAGCCAGCAGTCGGCAAAGCCTCGGGCCGCTCGGAATCCCGTCATCGAGCCAGACGCGGCATCAATCCATGAGGAAACCCCACAGCGTACCGCACTCGTTCTCCCAAACACCAAAGCCAGACCGACCATGCCCTTCTCGCATCACAGCCACTCCGGCCAGTTCTGTTCCCATGCCAAGGGCACGCTGGAAGAAATGATCCAGGCAGCCATTGCCAAAGGCTTCGACACATTGGCACTGACGGAGCACATGCCGCGAGACGACGAAGACTTGTACCCAGAAGAAGTGCGTGAGTCTGCCCGCGCCCACGACAGCCAAAAGCATGACTAACTCTGCCCAGCAAGGCCAAACATCCGCGCAGGGCCTGACGCAGCTCTTCGACGACTACTACCGTGAAGCGCAGCGCCTCCGCGCAAAGTACCAGTCGCAAATCCGCATTTTGATCGGTCTCGAGGCAGAATGGATACGACCGTCGTCGCTGGAGCGAATAAAGGCGCTGCTCGAGCAGTACCGGTTCGACCTCTTCATTGGCTCTGTACACCACATGCACACGGTGCCAGTCGACTTTGATCAGCCCATGTACAGCGAGGCGCGGGCAAGGTCAGGCGGCACGGATGAGCGCCTGTTTGAGGATTACTACGACGCGCAATACGACATGCTCCAGGCGCTGCGGCCGCCAATCGTCGGGCATTTCGATCTCATCCGGCTGCTGAGCGACGAGCCGAACCGCGACCCGCGCTCGTGGGGGACGGTTTGGGCAAAGATGCTGCGGAACTTGGAATACATTGCTTCGTACGGCGGGCTGCTGGAAATCAACACTGCTGGGCTGCGCAAAGGCATGGCGGAGCCGTACCCCTCGGCGCCAATCTCTCAAGTGGGTGTAGACGCGCTTGCAGCACGGTGATGGCTGCTGATGGGCGTTTACAGGAATTCCTTCGACTCGGCGGGCGCTTTACTCTTTCGGATGACAGCCACCAGGTTGGCCATGTCGGCACAAACTACCACAAACTTCCCGATTTCCTGGGACGCGTGGGCATTCGAGACGTCTACCGGTTTGTCAAAGCTGCCGAGAGTCGCGATGAGCGGTTCCCGGGCATCAATGTTCAGTCCGTCAGTGTCAATGACGACGTAGCTACGCACGCGTCGGTCTCGGAAGCTGCCCTAGACAGCGGAGCCCCCTGACAAGCTTTGCCGTGCCTCGACCCCAACAGATAGCAAGCAACAAGGGGCCTAAGTGACCAATGACGACACGGAGGAGGGCGGCGGACTCCACGTGAGATGGCGCAAAGGCAGGAGGTTGAGCACTCTGGGCATTAGACGGAACGCGGGACAGCCGTAGAGACGATTGCTGGGATGGCCTAGAAATCAAAAGGGGCGCAGCGTGCATGGCGGCAGCGGGCGCAGGTCCAATTGCGAAGGGCGAGAGGCATGGGAACTGATGCGGATCGATGATCTCGGTTGGATGTGGTGCTTGGTGCGCACACAGAGTTTCGAGACCCCGCCACGTGCGGAAGCGGCGCCGGCGGGGGAGGAATTGGGCGATGACGACCTGAGCAGCCGCAAGGTACAGCGGTACTGGACTAGAATTGTCACCTCAGTCTGTCCCGGTATCAACCCTCCATTCCCTCCGTTCCGCTCGGGCCTCGTCTATGCTGATCTGACTCCCCGCGCCACTTTTCCCTTGCCTTTATAGTGTCACCTCCGACTTGAACCCCTCCATCCCCCCGCCACCACATCACCACCACATCACCACACATTCCACCAACAACCATCACCTTCATTTAGCAATCATGGGTGTCGAGAAGCAAACCATCAAGCCCGGCGACGGCGTTACCAAGCCCAATGTCGGCGACACCGTCACCATGGAGTACACTGGCTTCCTGCAGGACCCCTCGGGCAACAAGGGCAAGCAGTAAGTCGACCCGCGACCTCACTACACACCTACATAGACGCCCGAACTCCGCTGACCCAATATACCACAGGTTCGACTCGTCCGTCGGCCGCGGCGACTTCCAGACCGCGATTGGCGTTGGTCGCGTCATCAAAGGTACACCCAACCACACGAACACAGTGCTGAGGAAACTGTCGACAACGCTTGGAACACGACGAGGTGCTGACAGGCGCACTCAACAGGCTGGGACGAGGGCATCGTCGGCACGGCTTCCAAGCCCGGCATGACGCTCGGCGAGAAGGCGACTCTGACCATCACCGCGTACGTGGCCAACCAACCCTGGCACACCCCCTCGAATCATTGCCGGGCTCTTGGCTGACATTTTTTGCCGGACAGTGACTACGGATACGGCCCTGCGTAAGACTCCCCTCACGTCTATGCTACGGATACCCCGATGGTGACGCAACGACGTCATTGCGGAATACGGCGACACAATGGATTTGATGCTGACATGCTTTGCCCTCACAGCGGCTTCCCCGGCCACATCCCGCCCAACGCGACGCTCATCTTCGACGTCGAGCTCAAGGGCATCAACAACCAGAGGGCTTAAGCGGCGAACAAGAGGTACACCTCCTTCGCAGCCAGACCGCCCCAAACCGCACCTAGTCTGACACACCGACAGGAATCCCATGCGTGGATTGTTGCCAGAATGCGGCACTTCTTTAACCATGTGCCCGCTCTAGAATCTGGCCGTCCTCTTGGCTTCGTCTGCTTTTGGTCTTTGGAGAGAGACAGAAGAGAGAGAGAGAACGAGAAAAATATTTGAGAGATTTCTTTTGCTGTTGTTCAGAGCAGAGACGGTCTGTCGTCTCAAAGGGGTTGCCCCTGAATCGATCAAGAATACATATATGATGCATGCACGCTTGGAACCTTTGCATGAAGCTGGTGCTGCTTAGTGTCCAGGCTTGTTGCGCGATGATCCGCAAGCTGCATTTTCTATCCCGCATGCGCCCATCTTTCCCGTCCACCCGGCCTCCCGGATCTTCTCCCTCGCGCTACAAGAAACCAAAGAGAGTCGACAGACGTGGATGCGTGTGTTGGCGACAGGCACCGACTGGACTGGCTGCCGCCTGCAAGTCCTTCACGCCTAGCCGCACCTTGGCGAAGTGGACGGGTGCGTGGTTGCTTATGTATCGTCACACACAAGGTACCTACGTACCTACCTATCGTTTGCAAAGAGGGCTCAGTCATTAAAATTCTGTCCTCATGCTGCTGTCGAACTCGTCTTGCATCGTCTCGCATCGTCTCGCATCGTCTTTTCTTGCCTTTTTCTATGCCGCGGCCGTCTCTGCGTCCGCCTTCTTCTTCTTCTTCTTCTATCTGTTCGGCTTGGGTGTGTTGTGATGCGATGACGTGATGATGTGCAGCAGGAAGGAAGAGAAGAGGGTTGCAAGCTGGCTATTTGGGTGTTGCTGCAGTAGTTGAGCTGGGTTGGGTTGCTGCGGTGGATGGAGAGGATGAGACTTTGTAGGCTGGGAGAGGCGGAGACGGAGAGCAAGAGGGAGAGATGGAGACGAGACACAGACGAAGCACCAATCAACCAATCAATCAGAGCAAATCACTCCACGTCCTGGATCAGCACGAGTTACCGCAGCAGCACGACCAGCTTACTCGGGAAGAGAATGGGGAGGAAGTCTCTACATGTCATTGATGGCACGGCGCTGATGGACTTGATTTGAGGAGATGGAGTTTGCCGAGGAGGTTTTCTCATGCTGCTGCTGCTGCTGCGTCTGCGTCTGCTTCTGCTTCTGCTTCTACTGGTGGGCGGGCTGCGTGGATTGAGTGATAGGGAAGAGGGAAGAAGGGTGAAGGGAAAAGGAAGTGTTAAAATGGGCAGGGGAGGGGCCGGTGCTGTGTTTTCCTCTCTCGCGTCCTTGTTCTAAAAGTCCATCTTTCTCTCAAGACACTTGAGACTGATTTTGGTCTGCTACAGGCGTATTATTGGCAGCCTTGAGCCTACTTGTGCCTACACCAATGAGAGAACACTGGTGTCTGTCTTTGCGCGAGGCATGTCTACTTTCCTTTATTTTCCTTTCTCACTTACTCCCCACAGCTACAACAGCGACACTTTTCCGCTGCCTAGTAATTGATCCGGCTATTTAACAGTGCCGGTAGACGCCTTCAGACCGAATGCTAGTTCAATATAGGAGACAAGAGGAGTGATGAAGTGGCCGCAGACAAGGCGAAGGAAGGCACTGATTTTGCGTATCTATGTAGGCCGTGGCCCGTAGCCTCTGTTCTCGCAATCCGACAGACAGACAATCATTTCACCAATCAGCCTACGTTGCCGTGCCCATATCGTAAAGTAAGCCTCGAGATATCAGACAAACCGCAGGACGAAAAAGCTGAAACAGGGGACTTGAGACATACATCAATACATACATACATGTCCCCAGGTAAGACAAGACACGACACGACACGACACGGCGCGCCTGTCTCGTCTTATCTGCGTAATATGTCCATCCAACAGTCAACATCCAACACCTCACGCCAGACCTAGCCACCAGCCAGCATGCATGCATGCGTCCATCGCCCCCTTCCCCTTTCCCTTTCCCTCCTTCTACCCTCCCGACGCAAACCAAGCGCAGCACCGACCCCTCCAGCAAGGCCGATGACAGCCCCGCCCCGCCCCGCACAGCAGCGGCGCACACGCTTCTGAGACAACTGACTTGTTCGCCTACCTACCTGCAGACAGTGGTTATCTGACCATCTGACAATCTGTCTGACAATCCATCTGTCTGACGGGAGCGTGTTTCACGCTTGCGGGTGCGGGCGGGCGGGATGGCGGGACAGCGGGAAAACGGCGGTGCGGGTAAGGCTGTGTAACTTGGGTAGTGCGGCTGCGTCTGTAGGTGGTTGGTTGGTTGGTTGAGGGATGGGCGGAAAGGCTGGCTGGCAGGCAGAGGCAGAGGCAGAGAAGGAGGTGG